CACAAGCCATGAGGGTGAAGGGCCACCAATGCACTTGGGAGGAGTGTCGTCAGAAGGTCAAAAACCTCAGGTCTGATTACAAGAAGTTTAGGGATCACAAGACCAAAAGCAGACGGGGTCCCTCCTCTATGCCCTTCTACAAGGAACTCCATGCCTTCCTCACCAGGGATGGCAGTATACAGCCCAGCAGAATATGCACCAGCAGTGAAGTCATGAGGGTTCCAGTGAGCCAGCCAGCCAGAGCAGAAACTGTGGAGGACATCTCCGAGGGAGAATGCACCCAGGAGCTTTTGACCCCTCAAGGTAAGATGTGCCAGGGCCCTCGAGAAGGAGTGCAGGGGACAGCACTAGGGTGTCCAGAGGGCAGAGATGACCCCATCCCTTGTCATTTTTAGATGACCAGGAGGAACACCCTGACTCAGATGAGACATCCTGCAGTCAGAGGGCTATGGACATCTCTGACATGAGATCACCATCCCGTGCCTCTACATCTTCCACCAGCAGGCCACCATCTCGTGGTTCCGAGTGGACCACTGTATCTTCCAGGATCAGTAGCCACCATGACCACTCACCTGTCCCACGGACCAGTACAGCGGTCAGTGACGATGAGAATGAGGGCGAGGAGAGGGCACGTCCTGGACAATTCACCCAGCTGATACAGCAGGTCCAGGCTGCACACAGTAAATTCCCTGTTATGACAAAAAATGCATTCAACAGCATGTATGCCTGCACCCCAAAAACCAAAGCAATTTGTATGGCTTTTGTAACATTTTTTGCATAGGTTCGCAGGTTTGTAGAATCCCCCCCACATGCTGCTTTTGCACCCTAGCATGTGGGAGGGGCGTGGAGGAACATTTGTCTGTGTATCTCATTCACCATGTCCCTCGCATGACCACCACCTGCATGTATCCAGTGTGCCTACGCAAACCTCCCTGGCATGTACCTCTCCCCTCCTCCCTGATATGTGCGGGAGATGTTGTGTGTGCAACCGGTGCCCTCTGCCATATATGTCTCTAGAATGAGAAGTAGCACGAGAGAAAGAGGAGGAGGATAAAACAGCTAATGCCAGAGCTGCAATGCCACCGGTAGCCCGCCTGGCTGACATCAGAGGGAAGAAGACAGAACAAATGGACAAATCTCTAGAACAGGACGAACGTTCCTATCAACTCACTGAATGTTCCTATCAGCTGAGGCATAGGAAGACAGAGGACCAGAGGGAGTTCCAGCAGCAATGCCTCCAGCATCAGGAAAGCATCGCCCACGAGCACCGGCATGTCGCTGACTCCCTACAAGTGCAGACCAGTCTGCTGGCCCAG